GCACCGAGTAATTGCCGGTTAACCGACTTACCGACACATCGGTAGCGGTTATCATTCCCGATTATTCGAATACCGGAAAGACTTCCTCTTTTCTCCGTCTTCATATTCCCCCAACTGACCCTCATCTTCCTCCAAGTGACCCACTCTCTAAAAAGCACGGAGAGCAGAAGCAGCAGGCGACTAGGGAAAATTCCGAGGCAGAGCAACATCTCCGGGGAGCGGAGGCTCTCTATCTTCCTCGTGCATGCAGTCATCGCTAGTGGTTTTGGCCGTCTCCGATGGTGTTGCGGCAACGGTGAATCAACAGATCTGTTGAATCTATGGTCAGAGGTTGGGGTCGGGACTCAAGAATGAATGCGAAAGCCACCGTCGGAGTTTGGGGTAGGGACTCGAGAACGATCGTGAATCCTCCGTCAGAGGGTGGGGTCTGGACTCGAGAACGAAGGTGAAGTCGTCGTCGGAGGTCGGGTGGGGACTCTAGATTGCAGATTTTTCGATTTTTAAAGGTAGAGCAAAGATGGGGATTTTCTGTGGCCCTTTGTGATTGGGAATCGTGGACACGGTTGTGGATTTACATATTTGGAGAGGTAGAGCATGAATTGGGGATTTTTCGTGTGGCCATTTGTGGCTGGGGGTTTCTGCTGCAGAGATTTCTCAGTTGGGGAAGAAGGTAAAGTTGTGGAGGAGAGAAGGCTTCTTCAGTTGGGGAAGAAGATAAAGTTGGAGAGAGGAGAGAAGGCTCTCTCGCGCAACAGGTAATGGGATAGTGGGGAGTGGGGATGTCTGTTTCTTTGCTTTAAATTGAAGGATATCGGTATACGGTTTAACCGACTAATTGTCAGTATTTTATCGGAACTTATCTGGTATACCGGCTACTCCATTCCTCCATCCGACTACCGCCAAATGCCGGTTAACGGTATACCAGTTACCGCCGGTTATCGGTTCGGTTTTCGGCTATACCGTTAACCGGATACCGGATTACTAGCCCTAGTTGCTATGGGGGGTTTCATGTCTTTTGGTATCAAGGCTATTTTGCTCTTAGCCTACCAAGCATCTCTTGGCTTAGTACCCAGTCGTTTAGCACCCTGTTTTGCCGGCTTGTTTCCAGACTTAGTTTTTGGATGGCCCCCTTTTTGGTATTCAGCTTGGTATCTGGTCGTTTGGCACCCTATTGTGTCGCCTTGGCTCCACACTTAAGCCAAATTTCATGTCGTGGTTTGAACCCTGCCTTGTCGGCTTGGTACCCTCTTGGTGTCTTGGTACCAGGCCTGTGTTGTCGGTTTGGTACTCTCTTTGTCGGTGTGATATCCTGTCGTTTGGCCCCCTATTGCTATGGCTAGTTTCATGTCTTTTGGTATCAAGGCTATTTTGCTCTCAGCCTACCAAGCCTCTCTCGCCTGGGTACCCTGTCGTTTGGCACCCTGTTTTGCCGCCTTGTTTCCAGACTTAGTTTTTGGATGACCCCCTTTTTGGTACCCGACTTGATATCTGGTCGTTAGGCACCCTGTTGTGTCGCCTTGTTTCCAGACATAGTTTTTTGGATGACCCCCTTTGTGATACCCGGCTTGGTACCCGGTCGTTTGGCACCTTGTTGTGTTGCCTTGTTTCCATACTTAGTTTTTTGGGAGCCAAATTTATACCAAGGGGTGGTGGCATCGTCCAACTAGGGGGCCAAGAAGACGGGTCAACAATCGTATAGGAGAGAAGGGGTTTGTAAGCTCGTGTTTAGGAGGAATTACACTTACTTGTTTTTTGCAGCAGGTTTTAACTCCGCGCCTAGTTGGTGGATTGAATTCTGGGATCCCTTATATTCCAGGCGCTTTCTCCACGGATGCTCCCACTTCGGAATATGCTATTTCTTTTATAGACAGATGCTCGTTAGACTAATTAATGGCAGCCCTTTGATTGCTGCATCCGTTTTCTTGCTCTGTAAAAATTTATAAAAAGATGCTGGCAGCTGCTATGTTCCTTCGAAAAGTGCAGCTGGTGGCTCTTGGATTAATAGAAACAAATCAAAAAATATGGCTGTCCCATACTCCACAGAGTTCCGTTCTTTTCGGTGGGTAATTAGGAAGACTTTCCTTCTTCGGAACCGGAGGGAAAATTCCTTCCCACTCACAGGATATCCAAAAGACAAATTAGGATGAGGAAAATTTATTTCACCGCCCCAAAACCCCAACCCAACAAGGCCCTGCTAGCTCTTTTAATAATTAATGCTGAGCTGACTTTATAAATCCATCAAATCTCTTGTAGTTAATCGATGTGTACCACCTGATTTTTTTATGGGTAAACATCAGCATAAAATACTTTACCGCTGACTTTTCTAGTACACATTTTCAACCCTTGGTATTTTGTCTAAACTAAACAACACATACGATTAAATATTTAATAATCAAATCACTTTTATTTGATTTTTAATTTCATGATTAATTTTTTTCTATAAGATATCACTAAGTTCAAATAAAATATAAAAAATTATATACCAAATATGTCTCTAGTGTTTAATTAAATAAATCGTAACAAATACAATTTATTTTAGTTGCTTTTACTTTTACTTTAGTTTTTTTAATATGGGTGATATAGATTTGTCCTTTGTAGTCTAGGTGTTTATAAACTTATAATACTTTTCTTCATTTGAGTAACATGATTTCGAATCTCAATAATCAAATTTTAAAGCAATGGCTTGTGCTTAATTAAAAGAATGACAATAGATCCAATCTAGGTTAAGTGCGTCTTTTTTATTTGAGTGATTAGAGTTCAAATTCTATTAATGCACTTTTTAAATATATAAACAAATGAGGTGCAATTACTAAATAAACCTTCCTAGAATCACTCCCCAGACCACGAAATTTGGAATGGAGGTGACGGTTTTACTTTTCCGCTATTATAAATAGTGTAGAGATATAAACAATGAGGTGCAATTACTAAATAAACCTTAAGAGAATCACTCTCGGGCCACGAAATTTGAAATGTAAGTGACGGTTTTACTTTTAAGATATCATATGAAGTGTTAGATGTATACCACTGAAAGTAGAGAGAAATCATGCGATTTGAGTTGACAGAAATCATGCGATTGAAGTTCAAAACTACAACCGCTGAAGAGGCCACACGAATTGGATTGATGATATTTATATCTATCTCCTAGTTGCGGAAAAAATCCAAAAGTACCACTGTTTAAAAAAAAAATTCCAAAAATACCACCAAACCCCAAAAAATTCCAAAAATACCACCCTTTTTCAAAAACCGCCACCCCGCCCAGTGGTTTGGTCGAAAACCGCTTGTCGGGGGCGCGGTTTTGGACCAAACCGCGGGCCTAGGGGGCGGTTATAAAAAAAAAAAAATTGGACCTAAACCGCTGGGTGGGGCGGCGGTTTGGCCCAAAACCGCCACCCCAACCAGCGGTTTGGTCCAAAAGTTCGGTCGAAACTTCAAACGAACGTAACTTTGCACTCGGGTATCCGATCGTAGTGATTTTTTTTTTATTCCGCATAACTTTTCAAGATCTACAACTTTTACTAGGATGAAATTTCAAAACAGGAACTATTTGTGGATATACGGGACCTTGAGAATAACTTTACCTTTACTTTTCAGAAATCCATGTACATTTTGAAATTATGATTATATTAAAAGTTGTAGATCTTGAAAAGTTATGCGGAATCAAAAAAAAGTTCATAACATTCGGAGTTTGGAGCACAAAGTTATGGCCGCCCAAAGTTTGACGAAATAAAAAAAGGTCGTTCGGGGTGGCAAATGACGTTTTTTCGAGACGAAGACGGAACCCGACTGTTTGAGACTTGCAAGATCTCAAAAATTTATTCGGATTCAAAAAATGGATGCCGCAAACTTTTTGAGATCTTGCAAGCCGCAAACCGCCGGGTCTCGCCTTTCGTCAAACTTTGGGCGGCCATAACTTTGTGCTCCAAACTCCGAATGTTATGAACTTTTTTTTGATTCCGCATAACTTTTCAAGATCTACAACTTTTAATATAATCATAATTTGAAAATGTACATGGATTTCTGAAAAGTAAAGGTAAAGTTATTCTCAAGGTCCCGTATATCCACAAATAGTTCCTGTTTTGAAAATTTCATCCTTGTAAAAGTTGTAGATCTTGAAAAGTTATGCGAAATGAAAAAAAAAATCACTACGATCGGATACCCGAGTGCAAAGTTACGTTCGTTTGAAGTTACTTTTGGACCAAACCGCTGGTTTTGGGCCAAACCGCCGCCCCACCCAGCGGTTTTGGTCCAAATTATTTTTTTTTTTTTTATAACCGCCCCCTAGGCTCGTGGTTTGGTCCAAAACCGCGCCCCCGACAAGCGGTTTTCGACCAAACCGCTGGGTGGGGTGGCGGTTTTTGAAAAAGGGTGGTATTTTTGGAATTTTTTGGAATTGGGTGGTATTTTTGGAATGTTTTTTTTAAACAGTGGTACTTTTGAATTTTTTTCCCTAGTTGCCTTGTACAACAGCAAAGCTTCGAGATAGATGGGCTATGGGTAACAGGTTATCATGTACGCTATTATTTTAGGAGTAGAAAAGCATCCCGGATGCTTAGGTATAACCTCGACCGTCGAGCTATTAGCTCTTCCTCAGCTGCGATCACTTTGTTCACACGGTGGAAGGATTTGGAGTTTCCGTGGACGAACAATGAGTAACGAGGATCATGTACACAAAAGAGATGGTCGGTAATTTTAAAATGTCGGGACTCGTGATCGAGTTAGGTTTTTGCAACCGTACATCTGGTTCGTGCGTAACCCTCTACATCATTGTTCGGAACTGCTATATCTAATAAATTAGAGGGCCAAGTTCTATAATTTGGTCAATGTATGTAGCAGTTTCGAACAATGAGATGTAGAGTGTTTTTTGTTCATCTCGCTTTGTAGTCATATATGTGATTTCCATCCAATCCATACAAAAACATTAAAATATGTGGTTCAGTTGGAAGGGGAACGGGCCTAGCCGGATAAGACACTTTCTTTGGTTGGCAGCACATGAAAGGCTCATGACCAACTGTGAAAGGAAGCGGAGGAAACTGACATCGGTCGACACTTGTGAGCTGTGCAAGCTTGCTCCAGAAACAACCGAGCATATACTGCGGCACTGCCCGCATACCCAGCAGGTATGGCGTATACTAAATCTCTCAGACAATGTCCTGAATGTTGGCCTCTGTTTTGCAGATTGGCTGGCAGCAAAGCTGAAAGATGCGGACTCTGGATTACTCTTTGGAGTGGCGGCTTGGTACTTATGGAAGAGGAGGAACGAGTACATTTTCCAGCAGAAGCAGACAAATGATCAGGTGCTTGGACAAAGAATCCGGAGCTGGGCAAATACAATAAAGCAAGCGCAGGAAAATGACAAGCAGGTGCACCAAACAACCACCACCAAAACCTTGAGGCAGCTACACTGGACTCCGCCGCCGACCGGTTGGGTATGCGTTAACACAGATGGCTCCGTCCGGCAACCAGAATCTAAGGCGGCGGCAGGTGGCCTTATCCGCGATGAACTAGGAAGATGCAGAGGAGCGTTCACAGCCAACTTGGGAGTCTGCACGATTACTAGAGCTGAACTGGTCGGAGCCATTCATGGGCTAAAGATGGCTTGGGATCAAGGACACAAAAAGGTGCAGCTTCTTCTCGATTCTATTACGGCTATCAGGATCTTGAGTGCAGGAGAGAAACAAAACCAGAGATATTACAACATCACCAGACAGTTTCAGGAACTGATCAACAGAAATTGGGAGGTACAAGTCTCTCATACTTACAGGGAATGCAACAGAGCAGCAGACTTCCTTGCCAACAAGGGGCATGAGGTTAGCGTAGGAAACCATATTGTTAGTAGTTCGGATTCAGGTCTTTCCTTTTGGATCTTGTATGACTCAATGGGCATCGCCCAAGATCGTTTAATTTAAGTGCCAGGCAGGGGTGCCCTTTTAGCACCCCATTTTTTACCAAAAAAAAAAAATGATTATCCCCAGCCTAAGTTCCTATGCTTAATCCCAAAAGCTTAAGCATATGATTAAAACGATCCTATTGGCTGTTAGATAATTAGATGGTTATTGAGTAGTTATTAGTTAGTTAGTGGTTAACGGTATTGAGGTAAATGGAGTATTTTTCTGATTTCAAATTTAACCTAATAACATAATTAATGCAAAACTAATCATCAATAAGCAGTAAAACATAGAAGGCCACCAGGTAGGGTTTATTTGTTCGGCGACCTTCATTCTTCCCAGCACCATTCCACTCCCGCTCGGCGTCTTCGACCACACCAGTCTCGCTCGCCGTCTTCGGCCTATGTATACAAATTGTCCGGCTCTCCTTCTCCCTTTGTTCCACGCCTCTTCGGATTCTCCCGCCACTGCTGCTTGTCATTCTCTTGCCGGTCGTTGTCTTCGTCGAGGAAGCTTGCTGATGCCGTTGAGGGAAGAGGTGTTGAAGGCGAAGAGGAACGATACCGATGTTGCTTGCTGTTTCGATTTCCAGCCGATCGCTTCAAGACTCCGCTCCTCTCGTCGTTCGAGTCTACTTTGTCCCTGCCGCACGTCTATTGCTCTCTCCTGTTGTATAAACTATATTAAAGTAATATAGGGTTTGTATTAACGTTGATTGCATCTACAAACATATTATAGCAGAGTTGGGGCAGTTTTTTAGCATTTTGAATTTTCTGCAACCAGAGCGAAAATAGGAAGGGTAATTGTGTCTTCACAATAGTTATTTATTTTTCATTCATGAGAAAAAATTATCAATCTCAGGATTCGAAGCATTGTCTTTCCAAACAAAGACAACAACCATTACGAGTTACACTAAAGAAATGTTTTGTATTTTTTTAAATACAAAATATAAAAATCCAAAATATAAAAATTATATGTTTTTTCCACTATTGTTAGCTAGCCCACTAACTCACCCGAAAGTACTTTCTTTGTTATTTGATATTTTAATTTTCATATTTTATTATTTTAATTTGAGTTTAATAGTAAATTTAATTTATGTCCTCTTATAAATGGAGAATAATTTTAAGATTGCAACCCAAATATCATTGATTCGAATAATGAATTGCAGTATTGAATATGTAAATGTGATGTAGAATTCTTAAATTATTATTAATTTTTAGAACTATTAAAGCAACGATATTGTTATGCAAACTGTAAGTGACCAGTTTTTTTAAAAGTTTTAGTTTGGCTGACTTCCAGGATGTAAGCAACGATGAGGAGGAAGATGAGGTATGAAATTTGATAATATAATGGGGTGTATAGCTTATTGTTGTATAGTTTTTTCTTTTTTTTGGAAATTCGTGATAAAAATAGTGAATTTTAGTAGGAAAGAGACATGAATGATGCAATGAATCAAAAATCGGCCTTATGAACCAAAATCAAATACATGGTAACCTGTGAAACAATATTGTTTCTGGTAATATGATGAGGTGGAGTAAGTTTTATAGAAACCGAATTCCAGAAAATCGAATAAAAAATTGCCTATCCCGTCGGTTTTCGGGAAATGAGCATCTCACAATTGTTGCTAGCTTTTACTCGGCCCGTTGGTCGATTAATTTGCTTTAAAAAACTTTCATCTTGTCGTCATTGTGCTTTCTGGTTTTTGTTAGGCCATGCTAAAATCTAAGGAAATCAAGAACGAATGACACAATTTGGGATAGGAACCGCCGTTGTCGTATCCCTAGAAAATGGTGGTAAACACAGACTCACCTGCCAAACTGGTTTGGATTGAGATTTTTATCGGGTATCCGGGAACCATGTGATTATAAATTAGACTTGATCGAAATAGGTCAAAACATGAACTTCAGCATATTTGACCGACCCATGCCAAATTCTAATTATTCTTTACTTTTAAACTTTCTATTTGAAAATAAAAAATAGTGAAAGAAAAGAGATGACTGCAATTCGCCATTTGCACATCACTTATTCGAGAACCATAAAAATTCAAAAGGAACTAAAAATATTTAGGATCGTTTTAATGTTTAAAATAACCAAATAGATCGTTATGTTTAGTTTTTTTGCTAACAAATACCAAACGATTCCCTATAAAATACACTATAATTTGATCATTATGATATCAAATAATTATATAATATATATTTGAAATTAGGGATGGCAATTTCGACCTGACCCGATTTACCCTACCTGTTTGACCTGTTTTGGAGCAGGTCAAACCCGCCCCGTAGGAGGGGCGGGGCGGGCATGGGTACCTCTCATCGACCCGACCCGACCCATTCTCGTCCCGTTCTTGCCTATATTACATATAATCTTAGTCAAATTACTTAGGATTTTCCTCTTATTACATTATATTTTAGCTATAATAAAGTTGTAATTAAGTGAAAACCTCAATTTCTTCAATAATTTAACTACATTTTATCATATTATGGTTTCTTTCTTGGTTTTTTAATGAAAATGACGAATGTTTCTAATTTTTTTCGCATAATTACATACCCAACGGGTCGACCTGCCCCTACCCGCGCCCCGTGATAAATTACCCGACCTGGACCCGACCTGCCATGGGGCGGGTATGGGTATCGAGATACCCGCCCTGGACCTGCCCCATTGCCATTCCTATTTGAAATTATAAATATTGGACTAATTGGGTTGGTCGAGGTTGAACCATTGAATAACTTTAAAATACATTATATTTTAGCCACTAAGATATAAAATAATAGCATAATATATATTATGTCAGAGAAAATAGCTTGTTCTAGAATGGCAAACCAATGATGTTCATTTGTTTTACTTGATGGCCAAATCCCGTGTAGGTCAGACCCATTCAACTCTTTTATTTTATGGTTAGCGGTTAGCACATTAGATATCATGCATTAGTTTATTGTTAAATTTTTTATTTTAGCAATAAAAAGGAGTATTTTTTTGCATTTTCATATATATTTTATCACCAGGGAGAAATAAAAGGGCTTAAAGAAAAAAATTGACACTCCTGGACCAGTTTAAATCCGCATGTGTACGGTAAGTTGGCCCGTTCCACAGAGGAAAGAGAAAAAAATTGACACTCCCTATTCTACCCTTCCTACAAACGCTCCTGGAGCAGGGAATTTGAAATGGGGGAAGGGTTTTTTCCTCCCTGCTATTATATGTTTTTAATTTAAAAATATACAACAAATGTACATAGTGTGATTGGTTATGATCCTTGCTTTTCTTTAAAATGGTCATGGTTCGAATCCTAGTACGTGTCTTTTTAATGAATAAAAATAAGTAATTGTGAAGACCAAAATATCCTTCCTACTTTCACTCTCGTTGCAGGAAATTTGAAATGGGGCTCCCATTTTTCTCTTCGGTGTATTATATTATGTGTAGATTCCAATCAATACAAGATTATCTTTTGTCCAATTTTTTTTTGTTAAATCCTAAATTTCTTGATAATATGGCATGATCATAAAAATGTGAGTTTAAAAGAACACAATTTATGAATACCAATTTTACAGATGATTTCAATACGACAATTGACTAGATGTATCATTTATAGTTACTTAGTCTAATATGAAATAACGCAGTACAAGACAAATCATGAAAGTTGGGCTGGAGTTTTCATAGACACGTTGATGGGGTCATGTGCATTAGCAAGGTAGGTACCACAAAATATGTTTAATTTTTTGTAGAGCGAATAAGATTGTCCTTTAACTAGATATAGAGTATCTTGGTTGATAAATAATTTTTTCATTGCATAGAGTATGGATGTAAAATATTATTTTCTTACTAATTTTGTTATTGTATTGTGCAAAATATTTTGAGATTTAGATATTGCTATAAATGAATTGTTTCTCAAGCAAAAGAAATAAAATATTGACTAAAGGTTATCATCATGAGTTTTCTATTCATGCTACATTTTTTCAGACAAACTCTTTTTTTTGTTATGTCAATTTTCTTTTTAACTATTGGCAACTAAGTGACTACATCATTAAATAGACAAGTTATGAATGATTATTCACAAGTGTTATCAAACCCTTTTCTCCTCGGAAAACCAGGTTCCTGATATGCGGACTAGGGTTGATGCCCTACCGCTGTCTCGGAAAGTCACTGATGAAATGAATGTCCAGCTCATTGCTCCGGTCTTACCAGAGGAGGTTCGGCGAACTGTGTTTTCCATGGGTTCTAAACAGGCCCCGGGATCGGATGGATTCACAGGGAAGTTCTTTAAATCCTTCTGGGGTATTGTGGGTGATTCGGTGGTGGAGGCTGTTTGCTCCTTTTTTTCAATCTGGCAAGCTCCTTCGCAGTTTCAATCATACTTGGCTCACACTGATCCCTAAGGTTGATAGTGTGGAGACCATCTGTCAATTGCGGCCAATTAGCCTGTGCCAGTTTGTGTATAAGGTTATTACAAAAATTTTGACTGAAAGACTGGCCCCATTCCTTCCCCGGATCGTCTCGGAAGGTCAGAATGCGTTTATCCGGGAGCGTTAGATTGTGGAGAATGTGTTGTTGGGCCACGAGCTAATGCATTACCTAAAATTCAAAAATTGAGGGAAGAAAGGATACATGGCTCTAAAGGTTGACATGGAAAAGGCCTATGACAGAGTCGAATAGTCCTTTCTTCTTACGATTCTGGCCAAGCTGGGTTTCAGCCAGACCTGGATTGGTTGGATTAGGGAGTGTCTTAGCTCGGCTTTGTTTTCCATTCTTATGAATGGTTCTCCGGCAGGTTTCTTCCGCGCATCTCGAGGGTTGAGGCAAGGGGACCCCCTTTCTCCGCTTCTCTTTGTGCTTTGCACGGAAGGGTTTGAGGCTCTCCTTCGCAAGGCCATCAATGAAAGGAAATTGGAGGGGGTGAAAGTGGCCCCTCAAGCTCCTCGTATCTCTCATTTGTTTTTTGCGGATGACTCGTATTTATTCTTACGAGGATCGCTTGAGCAATGCGAGAACTTAGTTGTGGTTCTGAATGAGTATGAGGAACTCAG